AAAAAAAAAAAAAGGAAAATTCTCTAACAAATGTACCTAAGAGATAATACAAAACTAAAAATAACAGATAAAGCAAATGCTTATACTTTCTTTTATTAGTATCTGAAGGGACTAAGTACCAAAATTAAGACATCGAAAATCAAAACCAAAATAAAAATATATCAACTAACAACTAAGAAACAACCTGAGAATGTTATCAAAACTGTGACTGACTTCCAGCCCTGCCATGAGTCCCTCTACAGTTTCCTTTATTCTTGAATTTTCAAATGATCCCAAGAATAGTTACCATATTACTGAGAACATTCCAGCATGAAGAAAATGATTTTTGGTAAATTAGTAAAATAAATATAAACTTGATATAAAATCAGATAGTATCACAAAATGTATATTATAGATCCAACTCACTTATAAGCAGAGGAAAAAAAAAACTAGATAAAATATTAGAAAACAGAGTTATGCAATATATTAAAGTATAATTGCCCTACCAGGTAATGTTCATCTCAGAAAGTCAAAGTTTTCTAGAGAGTTTAAAAATAAAATAAAATGATAAAATCTCCAGAGTAGATGACAAAAAAGCCATGAAATTAAGTTCTTAAATAATGAAGAACATATTACCATTTAATGGTATATAGCTGATGCTGGTTGTTTACCAGTATTCATAACCTCATTCTATTCTATTTCCTTGGGAGGGGGAGGGAGACAGAAACTGTTCATGCAATGTCTTTTGTTCAAATCCTGTTTAAAAATATTTTATACTATCACATACTTATATTATAAAAGAAAAGTAAAAGTTACTTAACTAAATCTTAGGATGTAAGTTAAATATAAAAAAAAAAAGCCTAAAGCAAGTAGAAAGAGGAGATAAATATAAGAGCAGAAGTTAATAAATAGGAAACAAGCATGCAACAAAGGGAATCCAAGCCAAGGGTCGGTTTTTTGAGAAGACTAGTAACACTGACAAATCTCTATCTAGCAAGATGAGATGGGGGAGGGGGGAACCACTAAAAACAAATCACATAATCAGTCTGAAGAGTTTCATTTCATATATATAACCACAAACATCAAGTGGCACAGGTTATTCCTAATTAGCTCAAATTCCTATTCTTCAAGATGACTGTTTTATACCTTTGCCTCCCCAGAAGTCTCTCCCATCTTCATACATTTCCACTCCAGCCCAACACTCAGCTGATGACAACGCTGCATATTTTGTTGAGAGAGTAGAAGCTATTAGATGGAACACCTTCCTAACTCATTCCACTACAATACAGAAATTCATCTTCCTGCCTCCAGTTAAAAGTATTCCTGCTGTTATTAAAACAACAACAACAACAACAACAAAAAAAAAAAAACCGACCCCCTCTGCTTGCGCCGAACCCCATCTCCCTCTCTTGGGAGCCTCACCCATCCCTCTGGATTTTGCTCTCCCCACCCAGCCAATGGTTGCCAGATTTCTATACCCCTTTTCACAGTAAAAGTTCCCAAACACGTTGTCAGTGCTCACAGTCAGTACTTACTTAACTCGATTCACGCTCTAACTTATGTTCTCACTACTCCACAGAAACCCCACCTAGCAACTCCACGTGGCCAAATTGACTCTGCACTGCTCTTACTAGGACAATCACCAACATTTGACAGAGATGACCACTCCCTCTTTTAGGGAATAGCTCCTCTCTTGGCTTAGTCATCAAAGGTGACTCCTTGTGTGACCTCTAAATGTTGTAAGTTCTTCAGGATTCTGCCTTGAGCAGAATGTTCTCCATCTGCTCTTCTCTTCCTAAGCAATCTCACCAATTTTCAGGCTTTGAATGTGAAATACAAAGTGCTAACCATTTTACAAATGTTATCTCATCCTCACAACAACCATGAAAAGTAGGATAATTATATGTCCTCATTTTAAAGATAAGGAAACTAAGGCTCACAGAAGATGATTACAGAACTAATATAGTGGTTTAATTGGGACTGGCATCTATTTCTGATTCCAAATGAGCTCTAACCCACTGAGAAAAACATATGAAGAAATGTGCACCCTGACTCTTTAAAGAATCTTAGCTATTAATAAATTTGGTAAATTAAAAAAAAATTATTATAAGGATTTAATTTTGTTTAGATATAACTAAAGGCTAAGAAAAAAGAAATTACTATTAACAGAGCAATGAACTTTTAATACTCCCTGTTCATGTAATCCTTAAAAAATGTATACACCTCTAATAAACACATTAATATACTAAGTCTGTAATACTGATAAATATTTGAGTGTCTCTTTACTATAACTAATATTTTTAATTTTTCTACTACTCAAAATCATATAGTATCTACATGTTTACAGGAAAGTATTTACATGCCAGAGATTAATGCTTTAATTTGTAATCTAGAGTAGGAGGTGGCAAATCACAGCTCATGGGTCAAATCCAACCCATATCCTATTTCTGTAAGTGATGTTTTATTGCTGCACAGCCATGTCCATTTGTTGACATATTGTCTATGACAGCTTTGGCGCTAAAAAAGCAGTGTTGAATCATTAAGGCAGTGCACAACCTAGGGAGCCTAAATATTTACTGTCTGCTCCTTTACAAAATAAAATTGCCAATCTCTTATCTAAAGTAATCCATCCTGTACAAGTAAAAATATATGACTATAAAACATTCCAAGACAAGTTAATTTACAGTCAGACCATCCAGAAGTCATTTAACTTCACATAACATAACCTAGAAAATAATGAGAAACACACATTGCAAATAAATATCTACCTATGCTTTAAAATCGTATATCTAGTATTCTGATACAGATCACTGATTTATAATTTGCACCAAAGATAATGTCTATGAATCAAAAAACAGTTCATTCCTAAACATGTAAGCAAAACTAAGGAAGGAGGGAAAGAAAGAAGGAAGGAAGGAAGGAAGGAAGGGAGGGAGGGAGGGAAGAGGGAGGTTTGGTCCCAAACGTTAATTTTTCTACAGTTAATTTTTGTGATTTGCTTTTATAATTCCAACATCAGTTTATATATTGGAATTTTGAAACCGTGTCTATATTATAAACTACATCTTAAATAGAGACTGGGCTTGCAGAAAACTGCTACCATCAACAAGATAAACTTAATAAAGCAAAATTATTTCCTACCACAGTTCCTTGCAGTATGTGGCACTGAGCTGCCACAGAAACAGGTTTTTGCGTTTGTGTGGTTTTAACCTCGTAACACTATACACTACTCACTTAGTAAAATAATAAGCCAAGAATAAGTAGTACTAACATTTGGGGATGGGGTAGAGTCTCAGTACTTACTGGGTAAAGTAATAAGACGTTGAAAATAAGTGAACAATCCTTGCAAAATCTCATTTAACACATTGTTAAAAGTTTTAAGACAATTTTTAGTTTTGAAAAATTATCAAGATTCCAATTTTACATTCCAAATTCCAAAAGATGAAATGCAGCCTGACTTCTATTGAAACTTCCCTTTAACTTTGACTACTGGAAGCCTACACCGAGTAACAGCTGCCAAGAAAAGATGGAGCTATTACGTTACCCAGTTCAGGAAAACTGATTTTATGTTTTTGTTTTTAAAATGCTGAGTTTTTAAGCCCTGTTACATGACCTTTACTTTATTGACATGAGAGTAGGGAAGGCCAAGGGAAAAAATATAAGATCCATGGTATCAAGTTTTTCCTCTTACCATAATTCTAAACCATCTTCCAGAAGATAAACATGTGGAGGCTGGGAAACATCTGTACTCAGTTGAATAACTGGGAGCAGGAAAGGGTACAGGTTCTTGCTGTCTGCTCCTAATCCCTATGGGAAGTATAAATAAAACTTATAATAACATAAGACACTCTAAGGTCCCATCACCCCACCAAAAAAATCACCTATCATATAAAAAAGCCCTAAAACCAATTTATAGAAATAAATCAATCAGATTGTAAAGGATGGTCCTAACTATAAGCACTACTCAAACAAAGTTAGTTCTGATTACAATTAGAAAGCAAGTACCAAAAAAACACTATTTAGTTGCATAATGGTAGTAAAACCATATACACCAAGGCTACACACCTGTTCACTTAAAGAGATTCCACATATATTTATTTTCCCTACTCTGACATCTAAAAGGTGTTCACACTGAAATATTAAATTCTATAATCTCACCTAAATAACTAGTCTAAAAGGAACCCAACCTAAACGTTCATCAGTAAGATAATTAAATTATGGTACATTCATATTTTAGAATACATAAGTATTCTAGAGTAGAATACATAAGTATTTAGAGTAGCCATGAATAAAGGTTAGGCATGGAATGAAAACAATCATCAAAAATTACAGGGCCGGATGTGTGGCACATTGGTTAAGAATTGGTTTGGGAATGCTGGCTCTGAGCAGTAGGACTGCAGTTCGGATCCCACATGAGGGCCAGTGATGCTGCACCCTCTACAGCTAAGATGGTGAACAATAGCTCAACCTGGAACTGGGCTGCCGTGAGTCGCCGGCTACGTCATAGGCTGCAGCAGGGCTGCAGTGGGCTGCCATGAGCTACCGTGAGTGGCTGGCAGCCAGCGTGAGCAGCCGGCAGCTGGCATGAGCTACTGTGAGCTGCTGTGAGCGGCCGTCCAGTGGCCTGTGACCGATTGCCTAACCCGGGAAGAGCACAATGATCACAATACCAACATGGGCCAGTGAAGCAACGTCCTCCACAACTAAACTGAAGAACAAAAGGATAGCAACTTGTCTGTTCCCCTTCCCTGATTCCCCAATGCTGTTCCCCTCCCCCAGTTCCTCAATAAAACCTTTTAAAAAAAAATTACAGATTGGATTTAAAAGGTGCAAAAGTATATATAAGAATTCCACATGTCAAAGAATTTTTTTTTAATAGCTGTATGTGCAGTATACGAAGGCCGGACAATTATGGTCATGAACTTTCCACCGTGTAAGCACGACCTTGTATGCATAAAAATGTTTCTTGGGAGAAAATAGGAAAAAACACGTTAACATTAGTCAAATATAGGAAGGGGGAAAAAAAGTTGGGAAAGGGGTAAAAAGATTTTTTGGGGTTTTTTTGGTTTTTTTTTTAGTTTTTTGTTAGGTTTTAAAAAAATATGTACATGTTATTACTTTAATGAAGAGATTTTGCTAAATTTTTAATGAACTAAGAACACAAAGATAGAAAAAGGACAGGGCATTTTATCTAAAATTCTAGTTTGGCTAATTACTGTCCTATGGAAGTTGACTCAGTGTATCATACTAAAGTTAGGCACTCTGAAAGAAAACAAAAAGGACAAAAATTCCATTTCTAATCCATAATCTCTATAATCTGATAAACACAGAAAAGAAACAAACTATCAAACACCTCCTCACTTTGGAAATAATTCAAATGTCAACATAGTTCATAGAAAAGTACAATACGACAAAATATATATGCATTCCTCTTTTGATGTCATATATATACCAAGTTTAGTCTTTATCAGTGGGGCATAGGTACTTCAGTTGGAAATACAAAAAGCTTATCCTTAAATATGTTAAGTATAAGTAAGGCCCTTTCTACAACTAAAAATAAAGGTTGAAAGACCTTATTAAAGATTTTTCCAAAGAAGAGAAATATAAAAATGTCACGTTTAATAAAGCAGCATATTGGGCCTTAAAATTCAGCTAAAATATCACTCTCCATAGCTCAATCTTTACCAGAACAAAAAAAGAAAGAACATTAAGAAAAACTAGTCAAGTTCATATTGATTGTCAAATAGACTTAAAATTTCCTAGGAAAATCAGAATCAATCTACTCAGGGCACATCCCAATAAGCATAATATGTTAGCATTAGCAAAACTAAAGTAAGCAACTGCTAAACAGGCAAGACTCTCTTGGTCAAAGCCTGAACAGATGCACCTTTGTTATCTAGTGGCCTGAAGAACATGACCAATCCCAGACATGCAGCTTTAAGTAAATATGAACATTTTTTTGGCCCATGGTTATGGCTATAAGACATTGTCTACAATACTATTCTGAAAGTTTAAAAATAAATTCATGAATTATTAATAAAATTATCAGCAATGTTTAAAGGTGGAAAGTTATATCGTACTATAATTACCTAAGACATAAGGGAAATAGGTGTAGGGACAAGGGACTCTCTCTGTACTATCTGTCACTGCCTGTGAATCTATCATTTTTTTTAACTGAAAAAGAAAATAACATACTCTACACACTGGCATTTCTCAGGCTATTGTCTTTGGCTCCCTTCTCAAGTCTCATGTACAGCAGGTCCTTGAATAATGTCTTTTTGTTATAACACTGATAAAATGCCATAGGAATTTAACTCTTATTTATATCAATTAGCCTATAATAAAATTGGCTGTTATAGCTCATTTTTCTTACAGTTGCACAACCAGTCAACAATGTTAAGGACTTACTATACATGCTGATAATGTTCAAATCTATTATCTCCACCTCAAATCTCTGAATACTCTGAATGACTATAGGATATCATCACCCAGAAGGCATCTCAAATTCTTAAGTCTACCACTGAACCAATCCACTGTTTTCCTGAAAAATGGTTACTCTTCCTGCATTTCCTAACTCAACTGACATGAACTACCGTATTTGCCGGCGTATAAGACGACTGGGCGTATAAGACGACCCCCTAACATTTCCACTCAAAATACAGAGTTTGTTATATGGTCGGCT